CAATCAGAACATTGCGTGTGAAGTTGTTTTAACGCAAACCAAAGATGCCTTTTAAGAAACAAGTTTACATCATATTCTTATGCATGCCAGTGCTATGTGTGAGGTAATTTAAGGTGGTTCTGACAAGTGTCGTCAGCATCTTCATATCCGGTCACATGGACGGCAAGCCACTCCCATCCGGTCACATGGGCAGCAAGCCACTCCCACAGAGGAGGCCACACCCACAGAGTAGGTTCGAACAATTTTTGAAACCCACCACTGAACCAATTGTAAGTAAAGATCCACCTTTATTTCATAACATGAATGCCACTACTAGAAAAACCTTAAATGTCCTAAAAGTTCTGTTCAAATAACAGATGTTAAGGTCTCACCGAGCAGTAAGAAGCAGGCATTTAGCTACATTTAGAACATTGTTCCCAGATTGGATAGACCCAGATATGAATGCTTTCACATAATATCAGAACTTTAATGTTGCTACAATAATGCTGATTTGATAACGGGCTTTTGCTTCATTCAAAATATCAAATTGCTTTTTAACAGCATTTAGCAGTGCCCGTCTGTTGATATCTGGGATTAGACGTTGGAGAGGGTCAGGGCTGGCGAGTACCTAGACTGGGTTTAAGTTAGGCTAGATTGGGATGTCAAAATCATCTAAGAAGAAAACAAAGGCAAACGATTTCTACTGTTGTGTTGTCAAGAAGACAGCCCAGATATATCCACGAAGTCCCCAGAAATTGTTCTGGACTTGAAGGAGACATTGATTACCTTCAAAGCCAGCCCCATGTTGAATCCCATAATCAAGATTTGGAGGCTATGGAGAAATTGATCTGACTTCTCCAGACAGGAGTACTGTTGAGAACATAGCAGTGTGTGACGCACTGCTTGTTAAAAGCTGGAGTTGAATGAACAGGCAGGACTCGGGATGGTGACTCCAGCTCTTTATTGCAGGCTTGGTACATTCTGTGTGCCCGTTGTCAGACAACTCTCTCTCTCTTAAAGGGAGCTGTCTGGCAGCCCAACCACTCAGGTTGCTCTATTTTCCCGCCGGTCGCGTCAGCCAATAAAATTAAACCTTCCCACTTCCCACTTGGAAAGCGGACCTGAGTGAAGCCTATGTCCCAGGCTTCACTCCCTATTAACATATTTAACACCGCTGCTACCATAGTACTTTGAGTCCCAGGCAATTCCATATGTAAGTTGGTTTCCTCTGTTCTCATCATTTTGGTTCTTTGGTCATCGCTTTAAAGGTTGGATCTCCCTCTAAGACCTAAGGGTTGGAGGGAGATCATTTTCTGCTTGGAATAAATGTCCTTTTTTTGGCAGACCGGGGATGTGTCCAGTGCCATTGAGATAGCAGATGATCCAAGTCTGGAACATCCAAATGAAATTCTGAGCTTGGCGACAGAAACCAAGGTAATTTGATTTGTAATATTTCTGTTCTGACTCCCTTCCTCCGTCCAGGAACGAAAGCCAAAACAAACGTAAAAGAGAATGTTTTTTAATCAGTCCAGACTCTCGTTGGCTGCAA